CACCAACATGACCATTACAGAAGCACCCGCCCACTCCGCCCCCCCCCCCCCCCTTCACCTGCCGGGCCGCCCTTGCCGCCGCGCCCGCCTCGCGCCCCTGCCCCTCCCCCCTCCTTTTCTCCTCGTAATCTTCCTCCTCCACCGCCAGCGGCGGGGCCGTTCGCGGAAGGCGGGGGCGCCGCTCGCGGTGACGCGCCGCGGCCGTGGAAGGGGGGCCGAAGGAGAAAAGAAAATGAAGAGGGGCACGGGGTGGCAAGGGGAAACAAAACAAAGACGAGAGAGGAGGGGGGAGGGACTGACAGAGGGGGGCCGGTAGAAAGGAGGAAGAAAAGGGGAGGAGAGAGGGGAGCGAGGCAGGAGAGAGGACGAAGGAGGAGGAATGACAAAAGAGGAGGGACGACGAGGAAGGAAAAGGGAAATAACAGGGGCAAGCACCGCCCTTCCTGGCGCAATGGAGGGCGCAGCCGCCGCCACTTGTGAACAGCGCAAGCACGGCGGGCCGACGGCCGTTGCGCATTGCTGCTCGGAGAAATGCCAGGGGCGGGCAAAGTCGCCACTGCGTCGCGCATGCGTCGCGCGTGCGTCGCGCGTGCGTCGCGCGTGCGTCGCGCGTGCGTCGCGCGGGTCGATCGTGCGTCGCGCGCTGGCAGGGGTGCGTCGCGCGCGGGTCGGTGTGCGTCGCGCGCGCGTCGCGCGCGTCGTGCGTGCGTCGCGCGGGCGTCGCTCGGGTCGTTCGCGCGTCGCGCGCAGGTCGCGCGCGAATCGCTCGAAGGGCGCCGCGGGCTCCTGACGGCATGTGAACTGCACGGCCCGCTGGCGAAACAATCAAGGGATGCGCGCGGCAATCGTAGAAATGGCGAGACACGCGCGTGAGAACTACGAACGCGAGGAGACCAAGAGACGACATGGAGATGCAGCGCGCACGGACTAATCCATTTCAAGCGCACGCCCCGTCAGATGTTGAACATCGGTCCGTCGCTGCAGCAATTTGGCGACGTCTCGCCCGCTGATGCAGTGGGGGGGAAGAAGAGGATGGAAGTGGTGCGAGGGAAGGGCGGGCGGAAATGGGAACGGACGGGCAAGGGGGGGGCGCGCGGGGGCGGCGTTGCGGCGGCGGGAGCGATGGAAGGCGATCGAAAGGGGGGCGGCGGGAGCGAGGAGGGCGAGAAGAAGTTCCAGGAGGGTGGAAGGACAACGGGGGGCGAGTAGGGAGGCGGACAGGACGGCAGCCTGACACAAAAGAACTGAATACAAATTTCGCAAACGGGACAAAACGCGCAGCGCGCTGGACGAGGGGAAGAGGAAGGAAGAGGGGGGGGGCAGGAGGATTGGAGCGAAACGACATGGGGGTGCGGGGCGCGATGCGACGGGGCGAAGTGGCGCCGCGTCGCGCGACGTGACGTCACCCCCACCGCGGCGCGACACGCACAGCCCCCAATCAACGCGAGGCGTCTTCGTCCTCAGCAACGGTTGGCGCCTCCGACAATGAGCACCAGCAAATCCTCTTGCGCCGAATTGGGAACAGGACGCGTTGGTGGACCGTCGAACTAGGAGTGCGCCGCGACCGCCAAAATGGCTGCTGGTGCACGGGCGTCGGAAACCTACATATCGCCAGAGCAATTCCGAAGTCGCGCCATATGTCGCCCACGCACTCTGGGAGGCCGGGATTCGGAACAGAGACGCAAACCAGGGCCGGCGCACGGGCGACGCTCGGGCGACGCACTGAACGAAAACTTGAAGGGGGGGGGTGGTCGCTTCACTGGGCCTTAACATGCGAGAGGGCGGGCAGTGCTGGCGGACGCTGCTGCTGCCGCGGGGTTCGAGTGAGTCACGTCTCAGCTGCACGCAGGGTCTCTGACCACCACTTGTTGCAGTGCGGAGGTCCACTCGTGCCATGAGGCAGCCAGCGCAGTGCTCCGTGCGAAAGACATCCCAGCAATAGTGCGGGGACTGGATCGTGCGAGACATCGGGCAGTGGCAGCGGTCTCAGCCACCGCATGGGGAAACTATGCCAGGCCCGCCCCGCGGCCCCAGGCCGCAGGGCGGGTGTCAGGGAGCGTGTGGAGGGAGCCGAGCCATGCCCGCCCCACGACCCCTTCAACAAGGGGAACCGGGCACGACTGAGCCAAGTCGAATCGCGAAATCGGATCGTATGGGAAACGGATCGCATCGACGGCGGATCGTCCCGAACCGAATCGAAATCGAATCGCAGAGCCCGTCTCCAAATGGCCCTGGTCGATGCCAATGAACTGAGCCGAATCGAATGGAGTCGGAATTGCGGCCCCAGCTGGCCCAGCCAGCATATCGAATCGCATCGTATTAGATCGCAGTCGGCCCTGCCGGGGCGGAGGAGGGTGTCACACAGCAGGCAGTGGCAACAAGCTCTGTTGCTAAACGGCGGCCGCGAGACACGCATTTTAACTACCACGTGGGGACCCGTGCGTGCGAGCATCCGGCGGCCCTGTTGCTGTAGAAGGGGACCGCGCGACACACTCAGCTGCCACGCAAGGGTCAGCTCGCGCGTGAAACTCGTGAAGTAGAAGCTCGACCACAAGAAACCTCCCACAAGAAACCCAACCCTGAAACCCGAGGACGTCCATTGAGTTTGAGTGTGGGAACGCCACGCTTTCCATCGCAAAACCATCGAAACCCAAGAAACCCAGGGCACCCCTGGAGGCTAGCAGGGTGTTTCTTGGTTTGATATTCCACTGTATGCAAGGCCCTTGCTACAGTGCAGATATCGGCCGTGCGTGAAACATCTTCAGCAGGAAGCTGGACCACCTGCCCGTCGCTCGTTATCATCGCCCCGGGTTGGCCTCGTGGTTGGCAGAGCGCATCTTTGCCGTCTAGTTGTCCCTACAAAGGGAAAGGGAGTACACACGTCAGGTGAGCGAAATCCGAGCTAAACCCTGCCCAAATCATCCTCCCCGTCCTCCCCTTCCTCCACTTCACGTTTCTCCCCCCTTCCGCCGCCTTTCCTACTCCACACCTTCCCCTCCTCCTCCTCCTCCTCCTCCTCCTCCTCCTCCTCCCTGTCCTCCTGTCCTCCCTGTCCGACTCCTCCGCCTGCTCCTCCTCCTCCTCCTTATCCTCCTCCTTATCCTCCTAATTAGCTTCCTCCTTAGCCTCCTCCTTTTCCTCCTCCTCCTCCTCCTCCACCTCCTCCTCCTCCTCCTCCTCCTCCTCCTCCCCATCTCCTCCCCATCATCCTCTTCGTCCTTCATTCACATCCCCCTCCGTAGTTCGCCGATCCCTCCTCCCCCTCCTGCGCGAGCGCGACGTCGCCGTCGACGTCGACGTCATCGTCGTTGGCGGCGGCGGCGATGGCGGCGGCGTCTTTCTCCTCCTCCACTTCTCTCCATGTCCTCCTCCCGTTCCGCCTCCTGCTCCTGCTCCTCCTCCTGCTTCTCCTGCCTCTCCTGCTCCTTCCGCTCCTGGTCCTGCTCCTGCTCCTGGTCCTGCTCCTGCTCCTCCTCCTCCTCCTCCTCCTCCTCCTCCTCCTCCTCCTCTTGCTCCTTCTCCGCCTCTACAATAACTCACCAAGAATACTACTTTCCTATCTCCCCTGAATCTGTGGCGGAATATGTCTCGGAGTGTTCGCCCCCCCCTCTCGCGTATTGTTTTTCAACACAGGATGTCGGCGAATTGGGTTTTTGCTTGTTCGTTCCAAAATGCTGCTCTCGCTGAGGCACTGGCCTCATTTTCGGGCTTCAGCTCGTTCCGAATCGTGCTCCAGCTGCAGCGCTGGCTTCATTTCCGCGCTGCCGCTCATTCCGAATCGTGCTCCCGCTGTAACGCTGGCCGCATTTCCGCGCTTCCGCTCGTTCCGAATCGAGCTCCCGCTGCAGCGCTGGCGTCATTATTTCCAGCGCCATGCCACGGCATGGTTTTCGGTCGTTCCAAATAGGCCCCAACATCTAGAAAATGCCCCCCCTCAAAAAAAAACATCGGAAGTGATTACACATTCGGTGCCGATTCGTTGATTTTTTGATGCAGAAGCCCCCCCCCCACTTTGGGGCGTCGCCACGCCATTCTATGTCAGGCTGCATATAATACCATGTAGTGCTATGCTCTGATACGACATACGACTGTGCGCATGAAGAGGCGATCTACGCCATGGTAAGGGGTGGGAGGGAGGGTTGGGACGTCAGATATGACGCGAGCGCACCTAGCTGGTCCTCAACAGTTACTCAATATGAATACTACTCTCCCTCTTCCCCTGATGACGGTTTGAAAACGCCGACCCCCCCCCGCGTATTGTTTTTTATGCACAAGTTTCCCCGGAGTTGGGTTTTCGCCTGCATTTGTTTCCAAAATGCTGCTCTCGCTGAGGTGCCGGCCTCATTTTTGGGCCCCGCTCGTTCCAAATCGTGTTCCCGCTGCAACGCTGGCGTCATTTCCGTGCTTCTGCTCGTTCCGAATCGTACTCCCGCTGCAACGCTGGCCTCATTTCCGCGCTTCCGCTCGTTTCGACTCGTGCTCCCGCTGCAGCGCTGGCGTCATTTCCCGTGCCATGCCACGGCATGCAATGCAATGCTAGGTTGATACTACGCTTTGTGGCGCTCTTCTACGCCATGCCATGCCGTCCTCTACAATGCATCGCGTACCCTTTCGGGATCCTTGCCCTGCTCGACATCCGACTGAGCGAGTGGAGAGGGGATCTGCGCCATGGTAAGGGAGTAAGGGATGGGAGGGAAAGGTAGGATGTCAGATATGACGCGAGCGCACCTAGCTTGTCCCCCTCCCCCTCCCCCCCTTTCCGCCTTTCCCTCATCCCCCTGCCCCTCCCCTCCACGTCCAACCTCTCCCACATCCTGCCCGCCTGCACCATCGTCACCATCCCGCCCGCGCCGTAAATCGCCGCTGCCGCCGCCGCCGTATTGCGGGGCCGTCGTCCGTGAACGTCGCCGCCGCCAGTCGCTCCCACTGTCGCGGTCGGCCTCCCGCCGCTTGCGATACGCCGTCGCCGTTCGTGAACCATCGCCGTCGTCGTCGATTAC